AACGTCTTTTTCGAATTTAGAACGCTTCACACGCTAAAGTCGTTGTAAACGTAAACTTCTGCACGGTCGAGTAGCCTTTAGCTAAATCGCGTCGACCATCTCGGTTTGATGTGCAAATAATTGGAATGAATTATTTTTTACAAGATAGTTGGGGGAAAAAAAGAAAAAATGGCACAGGTCAATCCTAAAAAGAAAAAAAAAAAAGAAATAATTTCACTACAAATTGTCGCCGAATTCTTTTGCCTCGATTGTTCTTCTAAAAAAAGGAAGCATTCAATTAAGAGGGATTGTTAGGATTAATATAACCGAGAGTGTGTGTGATCGGCGCCTCGAGGGCCGTGTACACACGTTTTACATACGTGAGGAGATCATTCGCGGCGGTGAACGTTCTCGCGACGTTTGCACGGCTTTTCTTCACCGCCGCGAAATACGAATCGATCTTCAATAATCCTTTTCTCGACGTGTATTTATAGATAATACGCAATGAGAAATACGATGCTCAACTTTTTATATCGTTTGCGTATTTAAAAAAAAAAGTACAGCGACGGAAAAGTGCGGCATTAATCGCGATGTTTTTTCTACATCAGCCTCGACACACATTATATATACATACATATTTATATACATGTGTATATATAAATATATATACACGCACACGTGTGTAAATATTTATAATATACACAATAGAAGTATACACAAGAGAAGTATATGGCATTGTGCCGCACGTGAAAAATGCGTAAACCGTTCCTATCGCTTTTCGTTTACGCTTCATTCTGTCATTCTTTAAGAATTTTGTCAAGGGAAGGAGAGACAACATAAACGCAACGAAATTCGCTCTCTTTTCTGGGACGGCCTTGCGGTACCTCTGTGACTCGAATTGTAGTCTCACGGTGACTTCTTTTTCACATTTTACTATTAATATTAATGACTGTTATTAAAGCAAAGTTAAATACGAGAGCGAATCGTAAGTTCATGAGTGTGTCCAGTACCGATAGTCCAACCGGGAGGGATATTATCGTCCACACTTAACTTTTCTTCGTGATGAAAAAGGGGGAAAAATAACAAAAAACAAAGCACAATGTCGCAGTAGCACGTCTCGTAGAGTTCACGGAGGATGAATTGTATATTACTCAATCAACAGAGCGTGCAAGGCGTCACCTCACACATATACATACATACATACACAAACATCAACATATACACTACACATATATACACGGTTTTAGAATGTTGTAATTATTATTTTTAATTAACATTTAATCTCTAACTACGTTCAAGTCTACACTCGTAATCACCCTTTGTCATTTATTTGACAAAAGGATCTGTTGCAATGTAAATAAACTTATATTTATACGAGTTATTGCGTCTCTCTTCATTTCCTTTTTCGCACTTTAACTCCCGTTCTCCAAATACATTTAGAGTATATCGGTAGTATTTTTAATTTGGGTCGTACCCAAATTTCAATTTCAATTGACTCAATGTATTCTATTCGTTGTTTAAAATAATAAAAAGAATTATGCAAGTCACTCAAGCAGAGTCTTCACTGATTATGATGGATATATATATAATTTTTGACTTTTCATCATTTTTATTTATGTGTCAATAAGAAGAGTATAATATTGAAAGAAATTCCTTCTTAATTTAATTTATTATTAGACCATATTATATATCATTATGTACTTATTGTTACTGCGCAAATAAGTAATTATCGTCAGGTATTATAATTATCATAATGTTGAATTAGATAAGAATTTCATTACGACTTAGTTTGATTTTTGTTAAAATAATCTTAAAAAGAACGTACGTTATTTTCGAGGTTAATGTTATTTTTGCAATATCATGATTTATCAGTTGTAGCCTAATTGATATCTTGCAATTGATAAATATTAATCCCTTTTATGTGTTTTGAAAAAATAAATATTTTTTCTAAATTAAATTTTATAGATTGTAGAACAATTATTATCATTGTGTGCTATGCTCTATAAATTATTACGACATATAGATAAGAATTTACCATGACACACTTTAATTCTTATCAACAACATTAAATTCCTCTTTTTAAAAAAAAAATCAAAGTAATGAAAATATAAAAAGCAAAAAAAAAGAATATAGAGAAAAAGAGATTCAGAAATATTTATATAGTTCTATCTTTTAGAAATTATAGCTATAACTTAATTCGTGGAATAAATTTGTGTTGGTTCTATGTTTATGACATTACGTAATATTACATAATAAAATATATTATCATATAATCTAAAATATTATGTATATATATATATATATTACAATAATTATATAACATAATAATATAGTATATAATTTTAATATATTGTATAATAACAATACACAGGTATATGAAATATTTCATAATTTTTATGAATTAAATCTTTTATCTCATTTAATATCTAGTATTATTTTACGTTCAATAAGTACGTAGCAGCGTAAATCTTTGCCTGCAAGTCCTTCCCTCCATTTTCCCGATGCAATCCCTTTCGAGAAAAGAGTAGATCGACCCTGTTCGTTCGAATAATATTTTTTTCTTCGTCCTTCAATATATCTATAATATATGAACAGCATTCCTACGCGGCAGCGCCGGGTATTCAGTTCGGAGCGTATATATTTTTATCGTATCATGCCACGTAATCTCTAAGCAGATCTTTTTTTGCTGACGGCTCATGCGCATTGAAGCGCCGATGAATTTTCCAGTTTTATGCCCCGCCATGTTAAGATCGCATATTAATTCTCATTCTTTCGCAAGAGAGCCGATTGAAATCTTGTGTCATTCCATGGTCGAACTTTATAATGTTATCGCATTATGTAGACTTCACGTGTGCGATTTATTGTCAATAATGCGGATATCCTCCTAGATACACAGTAGAAGTCATCGCCCGACTAAGTATAAACGTTGAGAAGACAATGAGAAATAAAGACATGCGAAAGTCTTTGAATCGAAAAACATAGGCATCTTCTTTTTAATTAAAAGTGAACTTCGTGCCCTTTTCTTGATCCACGTTAGAAAAAAAGATAATCTGTGTACGAAAATTTTAGTTAAAAAGGATAGGTTTATTGATATGTAAAAATCTTTCTATGTAAAAATCTATTTGTACAATCACGGATAAATAAATTCTCTCGATTTCGAGGATCTTGAAACTATGTGCAGGAACCTAAATTTTTCGAAAATATACATTTTCGCGATTCATCTGGAATTATATGGAATAAAGAATTACATTATACACGATTAATAATAATTTTATCGCTCAGATATGAGTAATGATTTTATTTACGAGCAAAATCGGTTGGCCACAACAAGAGACTTCGTTATTCATACAACTCGTTCATTTTAGGTCTGGATTGTATTGACTTATGACACGGAATAGAGAAAGAGAGAGAGAGGGGGGGGGGAGAGAGAGGAGAGAGGAAAGACGAAAAAGAGTTAGCTGTAAATGTACGTTTACTTCTTAGTTTAAATATCAATGCAAATTACATGTAACTATTATCTGTTAAACACTATTTATTCGTTTTAACTAATGTAGTAATTACAATTATGTCGTTCCTGCTCAACAACATGACTGTAATATATAACGTGTGTTATTGTTATATGTATTGTTACATAATTGTTATGGGAAATTACAACTAATTATGTAAGTATTCTATAAGTTTGGTGTTTGCTGGATTTTCGTACTTCGTATGTGAACATGTGGAATTATAATGCTTTGACGCGTGAATTTAGGCTTTTTTCGAGACACCTGTATAAATATAAACCTTATGTTTATTTTCACCGATGTAGATTAATTTTAATCTCGTTCAACTTACTCTTCGTCTTTTTCTAATTCTAAAGGTTAGAAAAAGTTAATCTACGTTAGTAAAAAAGGGCATTAGACCTGTTTCTTTTTAATTAAACTTCTTGCTCGGTCCTTCGCTTCTTTCTTTTCACACTGAAGATAAAAAACAGAAAAGAGATGAACGTGCAAAATGAAAAGTGCAAGAAAGTTTAGCTATAAGAACATCTCTTGTGTCCATAATAGCCTAGAAATCCGTCTGAGTTCTCGAATGGAGAAAGAATAGACAATATGCATTAATCAATTGGTGGAATTGTTCAAACGCGATTTGTTAATTATCTTTCTCCGTCCGATCTTGGAGTAATTTCTAGCATTTCGTGAACACAACAAGCATGTACGTCTCGAAAAGTGCCTAAATTCACGCGTTAAAGGCGTCAACGATCCCGTGTGTATGTACAGTAGTATGCGAAACGAAGTGATCTATACGGGTATCGCTAATAATAATGGCCGTGCGCTCTCTCTCCCCTTTCCTCTTCTTATTTAATCGGGAAGATCATTCCTCTCGAGAAACCATATGAATTAAGATTGAATGAAACATCATTGAAGGTTAATTTAACCTGATGCCGCGTGCCGCAGCGTAAGATCGAGGAAAGAAAACAATTCCGTTGCCGTCCCTGAACAATCAATATGGCTTCTAGCCATTGCTCGCTCTCGGAGCATGCCAGCACGGCCATCTTTCTCTTTCTTTCCCTCTTCCCGCGTTCTTATGTGAGGAACTTCAGTTCAGTCGGTTGGCTCGGGTCACTTCGCGTCGCTTCGGGAACGTCGATCGAGTCGGGAATTCGCGACTTGCTCATCGTATCACTGAGTGAGCTGAGAGCAGCTCGAAACAGCGAAAGGTATAGTAGTCGATGAGATTGAGTAACGAGACACGCGTACAGTACGTCTTTCATTCTGAGGCACAGTGAGTGAAAGGTGTGAGAAAGATAAAGAGAGAAGGAGAGTGTGAAGGGTAGGGGGAAGTGCGGCGTCCCGCGTCCCGCGTCTCACCGTCGAAGAAGGATCGATGGATCCGCATCGTCGATAAGCGTCGTCGATAAGTGCATCGGGGTGAGATTGATTGCAGCGCCGGAAAGCGGTGCGTTAAGTATTGGACAGGTAGATAGGATGAAGGGCGGAAGGAAATAGATCG